CAGGTGGACAGAGTGGTACTCCCTTGACAGTGGTTCAACAGCACTTCTGTCTGGCGGGGCAGCTCTGAGGTCATCAGTCTACTTCAAAGCGGTTGTAGGGAGGGGTAATTTTCTGTTGCTGTAACCATGGACCAGATGAAATCTGGTAGCCAAGATCTAAAAGACTCTATGATTTAGCCCAAACATACAACTATCTTCCCATTGGCAAAAAAGTTATTTTCTGTATTAGATATTGGAATTATATAGTTATAATTAATCATTTTAGCTTGAATTTTGGTAAGTAAGTGCATTTTGTTAAGGTTTATGAGAGTTGCTATGAAACACAATAATTTGGGAAAAAAGAAAAAGAGAGATATTTGTGTTTACTGGGCCACCGATGGATGACTGACAATGGATGAAATCACTAATAGGCAATTATAACATCCAGCATTCCAAAACTACTTAATAATCTTTTTTGAAGAGATATAGCTTCCAAAAGAACAAAAAGACAATTTAAATATTTATTTAGATGATTGCATGCCAAAATAAAGTTAAATATATAAGATAAAGAAATTAATCCCAAACTAAAAAAAAGCATCAAATATTTAGTCACCAACTTGGAATGGGTTCTAAAAGTTTGTAAGTGAATTATCCATTGGGTATTGAGTATTGGGAATACTCAGTGCATTTCACATGGGAAAAAACATTTCCCATGGCAACGTTGTAGATAGTAGTTAGGCTTCCAGTGTAACCCACAGAAACCAGGTTAAATATTAGGTATACAGATGGCTGTACAGCATAATGGTAAAGAACATGAACTTCATGGAGCCAAAGACCTCTGGATTCCAGTCCTGGCTCTGTCGTTCACCATTAGTATTTCCACAAGAAGTTATATCCTGCAATCTCCAGCAAGAAGTATGCCTCCTGGAGCGGCCTCCCTCTGGCTGTAGCACACCAGGAAACTTGACAGCTGGAGCAACACTGCTTCCCCGCGATGCAAGGGGCTTTCCTGTGAGGGGGAGCCCATTAATATCCTGGTGTGCTCAGGTGGGAGGCTCATATGTAGAGTTCATGTCAAGGAAGATTACCTCCTAAATAGCCCTGATGGAGTTAATGCTGTCAGGTCAATGCCAGGGCAGCAGTATCATTTACCATAACTACATTGAGTCTTTTCAGAGGCTTATGATTCTGAAACAGAGGTTCAGCCTTGATAAGAATAAGGTTCATGTCGCCCTTTCCAAATATCTGGGCACCCCCCATCTATAAGGCAATTACATTATAATACAGCCACTCTTTTATAAACAAAAGTAAGCATTTGTTACAAAACAAATCTACATGGATCAATAAAATGTTCTTGTATCTATCCAAGGCTTACAGGGGATCTGTCTATGAAATATATGTCTTTCAGGAAAACAAAGAGTTCAGTTTGGAGTTGAGTTGGGCAGAGCCATCACTCACCTGCATGGCACCATATGAAAGGCAGATGAGACACAGAGCTGAGGCGCCTGGAAGCGCTGACCGCCTAGAGAGGTTAGTCAGGAAAAATGCTCGTTAAATGCTCACAATTTAGAGTGACCATGGCTAGAATGTTTATTATGCAAACCACTAGAGGATGCTATCAATAACTGCTTCAAAGTCAGAATATCATATACTCTTAATAAGTTTTTTTCTGCTTCAGATACTGTTATAAGCTCAGATGTCACTATAATTAAACAAAACATTAACATCAAGAGAGTTAAAATAACACTACTTGAGGAAACAGAGGTTACAGTAAGATTGAGAAAATCCCCAATTCATTGTTTACAGTAATTCTTTATATGACTGGATAGTTCCATTAAGAATATTTCTTATTTTTCCTAATTCATCAGCTAATCAATATGATACACCACATTAACAAAATGAGGAATAAGAATCACATGATCATCTCAATAGATGCAGAGAAAGCATTTGACAAGATCCAACATCCATTTATGATAAAAACTCTCAATAAAATGGGTATAGAAGGAAAGTACCTCAACATAATAAAGGCCATATATGACAAACTCACAGCCAACAACATACTCAATGTGGAAAAACTGAAAGCCATCCCTCTGAAAACAGGAACAAGACAAGGGTGCCCACTCTCATCACTCCATTCAACATAGTACTGGAGGTTCTGGCCTGAGCAATCAGGCAAGAAAAAGAAATAAAAGGAATCCCAATAGGCAATGAAGAAGTGAAACTCCTGCTGTTTGCAGATGACATGATTTTATATATAGAAAACCCTAAAGAATCCATCGGAAAACTACTAGAAATAATCAACAACTACAGCAAAGTTGTAGGATACAAAATCAACTTACAAAAATCAGTTGCATTTCTATATTCTAATAATGAATTAACAGAAAGAGAACTCAAGAAGACAATCCCATTTAAAATTGCAACAAAAAGAATAAAATATCTAGCAATAAATTTAACCAAGGAGGTGAAAGACCTATACAATGAAAACTATAAGACATTACTGAAAGAAATCAATGATGCTATAAAGAAATGGAAAAATATTCCATGCACATGCATTGAAAGAAGAAACATAGTTAAAATGTCCACACTGTCTAAAGCAATCTACAGATTCAATGCAATCCCAATCAGAATCCCAATGACATTCTCCACGGAAATAGAATAAAGAATACTAAAATTCATATGAAGCAACAAAAGACCCCAAATAGCTAAAGCAATCCTAAGAAAAAAGAACAAAGCAGGAGGCATCACAATCCCTCACTTCAAACCATACTACAAAGCAATAGTAATCAAAACGGCATGGTACTGGTACAAAAACAGACACACAGATCATTGGAACAGAACTGAAAGCCCAGAAATAAAACCACACATATACGGACAGCTAATTTTCGACAAAGGAGCTAAGAACATACAATGGAGAAAGGAAAGTCTCTTCAATAAATGGTGTTGGGAAAACAGGATAGCCACATGAAAAAGAATGAAAACAGACCATTATCTTTAGCCATACATGAAAACTAACTCAAAATGGATCAAAGACTTGAAGGTAAGACCTGAAACCATAAAGCTCCTAGAATACAGGCAGTATACTCTTTGATGTCGGTCTTAGAAGGATCTTTTTGAATACCATGTCTACTCGGACAAGGGAAACAAAAGAAAAAATAAACAAGTGGTACTTCATCAGATTAAAGAGCTTTCTTCAAGGCAAAGGAAACCAGGATCAAAATGAAAAGACAACCCACCAACTGGGAGAAAATATTTGCAAATCATATATCTGACAAGGGGTTAATCTCCATAATACACAAAGAACTCACATAACTGAACAAAAAAAACGAAACAACCCAATCAAAAAAGTGGCAGAGGATATGAACAGATATTTTTCCAAAGAAGATATACAGCTGGCCAAGAGGCACATGAAAAGATGTTCAACATCACTAATCATCAGGGAAATGCAAATCAAAACTACACTAAGATATCACCTTACACCTGTTAGAAAGGCTGTAATCACCAAGACAAAAAGTAACAAATGTTGGAGAGGATACGGAGAAAAGGGAACTCTCACTCACTGCTGGTGGGAATGCAAACTGGTACATCCACTGTGGAAAACAGTATGGAGATTTCTCAAAAAAATTAAAAATAGAAATACCATACAACCCAGCTACCCCATTACTGGGTATTTATCCAAAGAACTTGAAATCAACAATTCAAAGAGACTTATGCACCCTTATGCTCATTGCAGCATTATTCACATGCAGCCAAGACGTGGAAGCAACCCAAGTATCCCTCAACTGATGATTGGATAAGGAAGATGTGGTATATATATACAATGGAATACTACTAAGCCATAAAAAAAGACAAAATTGTCCCATTCACAACAACATGGATGGACCTGGAGGGTATTATGTTAAGTGAAATAAGCCAGACAGAGAAAGACAAACACCCTCTAATTTCACTCATATGTGGAAGATAAACTAATACACAGACAGAGAGAACAGATTAGTGCTTACTAGGGGGCAGGGGGATGGGGGGTGGGCACAAGGGGTGAAGGCGCCCCTTTATATGGTGACTGACAAACAATAATGTACAAGTGAAATCACAACGTTATAAACTACCATGACCTCAATTAAAAAAAAAGGTTGAGAAAATCCCAAATTCACTGCTTACGCTAATTCTCTATATGACTGGATAGTTCCATTAAAAATATTTCTTTTCTCAGGCCGGCCCGGTAGCATAGCAGTTAAGTGTGTGTGCTCCACTTTGGCGGCCCAGGGCTCGCAGGTTCGGATCCTGGGTACGTACCAACACACCGCTTGTAAAGCCACGCTGTGGCGGCGTCCCATATAAAGTAGAGGAAGATGGGCGTGGATGTTAGCCAAGGGTCAATCTTCCTCAGCTAAAAAGAGGAAGATTGGCCTTGGGTGTTAGCTCAGAGCTAATCTTCCTCACAAAAAAAAAAAAAAAAAAAGAATATTTCTTTTCTTAATTCATAGATTAAGATGATTACTGGAGATGTAACAGTGACAGTTTGGGCCAGATCTATGTACGATTCCACCTCTGCCTATCCGAAACAACATTGTAGGGTGAGGCATCATGAAACTCTATAGAGAACAAAGCTTTCTTACTAGAGAAAGCAAAAAGATGCAACAACTTAAGAGTTTTGCTTAAAGCTCATAAAATGCCTTTTCGTTAAATGATATTTTCATTTACATAAACTGACTCATGTCAAGTTGCCTTATTGTTATAGTTAGGAAAACAAATCTTTAGAATTAAAATGCACATACATAACATTTGTTATCGTCTTAATTTGAATTCATAAAATTATGAATCACTAAACCTGCATAATTGTTTTTGTTGTCAATTATAATTTTTCCCCCTGAGGTACTTGATGGGCTCCACTCAAGCCCTGGCTTTGTTTTACAGGCAAACTCTAGGATTCTAGTTTATTGTCTTTAAAAATAAAATTAGAGAGAAAAGGCTAATAAAAGAACTAGCCATTCAGCAAACTGGATGCTATTATAGTGTGTCCTCACCTTCCTCTGGTGGCCTTTTGTAGAACCTTCATTCCTGCCAGGCTACAGCACTTCCCTTCCAACTGTCTGTCCTTCAAGATGGTGTCCTCTGAGTACACTTCACCGAACATTCCATAGGCATCTTGCACGAGAAGGCAGATTCTACAAAAAAGCATTCATATTTGTTCTTTTAGGAGACAGTTTTTGATTCAATAGAGATATCAAGATTTCCTTCTTCTTCCCTAGAATTCCATTGTAGTCATCATCATAAATAAATGAGTCAGGGTAAACGAAGCTGAATTGTAGCATGCACTTTTAAGACTTGTACTTGCAGGTGTTTGGATCACTATCCTCAAAATACAGGAGACAGAATTCTCTTCTGGCATAAAACTAAACCCTAAGCCAAATGCAGTTTAAAAGTACACAAAGACGACCATCCTTTCAAATCAAATATATTATCATTGCCCAGAAACAGAGTATCCTCATTCCCCATTTTTATTTTGCCCGCTATAACAGGAAACATCTATATTTTGTATGGAGGCTCGACAATGAGAAAAGCTTCAGTGTAACATTATGATGAGAACACTAATAAAGGGCTTCTCCAAGAAGGTACATATTTACAGACATACATATCCCAGCAGGATAAAAACCAGGGTCCCAGCTGGCAGCAACAGTGATCTGATGGCTATCCAGTGATATGATGGGATTCCTCCCAATTTTTAAGTTCAAAGGGCAGTACTTATAAAAACGTATTTATGACTGAATTTCCAATCTTCTCACTTCATAATTTCAGGTAAATGAAGTCATACTTATCACAAAATGACATATTTTCAGAAAACATTTCCTGGAACCTGAAAAAAGTTTAGGTAATAAATAACACCACCAAATAGACTGTGAGGAATGAAACTATTTAAAGATGAGGATATAAAGGCAAGTACATGTTGAAAAAGAACAGATGACAAACAAATAATGAACAAAGGAAAGCTAAACCTGAAGCAATGGACCTTAAAGTAAAAGTCTAGACTTCCTGATTGAAGTTTCCTAGGTCCGCCCCCCCAGATCCCCCCGTTTGTAAGAGAAGAGAAGGTAAATCTTATCTGAAAGAAAGCATCTTTAATTGGATCATTAGTTTGCCATGGAGTAAAATCAAATAAAGATGTGCTCAAATAAAAATCACCAGGTACAAGGAAAACACACCGTTTTGTTAGAAGAGTTAGAAAAAATAAAAATAGACCTACTGAGGAGTTGAGATATTAGAATTAAAAGATATGAAATATACAATAACTATTTCAAAAAGGTAAAACCACAAAAATATAAATAGGAGACAATAAGCTATATAAAATGACTTGGCAGATTTGAAGAATAAAATAGAATTTTCAAAAAGGAAAGCTACACTTACTGAAATAAAAAATTCATTAAATAGGTGTAACAAATGGTTATACATACGTGAACAGTATGTATATGTGAACTGGGTTATAAATTTTAATAAATTACTGAGAATATATCTTGAGAGCTGAGAATATATCTTGAGAGCTGAGAAAGTAAACATGAGAAAAGAGAGAAATATAGAGGACAGAATAAGAAAGTCTATGTCTCATTCTATGACAGAATGAGAAAGTCTACATATGTCTAATAGGAATTCCAGAAGAACAAGATAGAGGAAGAAGAAGCAATAATTTGAAGATCTAGTAACTGAGAATTTTTCCCAGTGGATGTAAGAAATGAATTTAAAGATATAGGAAGAAAAACAAATACCAACCAGGACAACTAAATACACATCCTAATATGCATACTGTAATGAAACCAGAGAACATCAAAGACAATGAGAGATTTTAAAAACAAAAAGGTGAAATGACAGAACATCTGCAAAGGAATAAAAATTTGCTTTACATCAGCCTCTCAAGAGCAATGAATGAAGCCAGAAGACAGTGAAGTATTTTCAGAATTCTGAAAGCCACCTCAGATCTGTGTACCAGCAAAACTATCTTTCAAGAATGATGGTAAAATAAAGACATTTTTAGATAAAGAAACACTTGGTACATTTTCCACCTACAGAGCCTGAAATATTTACTAGTTACTAAGGCAATTACTAAAATAATTTCCAAATTACATGATTTACGAAGAAGAAAATTATCCTGGAAAGAAAGGTCTAAGATACAAGGACTACTAAGCAACAACATAAACAAATCAAAATAAACATGGTTGGATAAAATAACAACACAACCAATAATATTAATTAATGTGTGCAAAGCTGAAAAACTGGAAACGAACAGCAAGTCACATGCGGGTGATTAGAATTCAAATGTTCCCAAGTCCTCATATCACTCACAGCAGGATTAAGGTATTAGCTCTAGATTTCATTAAGTATAGTACATGCAGTAAAATTTCAAGGATAACCATCAAAAGAACAGAAATAGGGTATATAACTTCCAAATTACTAGATGGAATAAATGGAATGAGAACTATAGGCAAACAGAAACAAGAAAATGCAAAGGTAAAGCTTTAATAAAAAGGCAAGAAAATGTAAGGTAATAAGAAGGATGGTAGACATAAGTCTATGTATATGAGCAATGGAATAAAAATGATTTAAACTTGTCAGTTAAAAGGCAGAGTTTGTCACGTTGTTTGAAGAAAGAAAAAAAAAGTCTTCTAATAAGTTGTTGACAGGAAACCTCCTAAAACACAGAAAGGTTCAAAGGACAAAAAAATATATTTCAGACAAACATTAACCAAAAGAAAGCTGAAGAGGTTGTTTTGAGTGTAAACAAAATAGATTTTAGGAGAGAAAGCATTATTAAAGATAGGTCACTAATATTTATAAAAAGGCTTAATTTACCAGAAAGACATATAATTCTAAACCTTTATGCTCCTAGCCTTGAAATACATAAAGCATAAACTAATAAAACTACAGAGAGAAATGAACAAATCCAACATCATTGTGGGAGATTCCAACACACTTCTGCCAATTTTTAAATTAATCAGAGGAAAAAATTAGTAAAGATTTAGAAAATTTGCATACTCCTAACAAGTTTGATTTGTTGGATAGGCAATTAGAAAAACCGACGACAGTTAGAGAAAGTGCATTCTCAAGCACACATGGGACATTTATAACCCAGACATTTGGCCATAAGACAGGTCTGAATGAATTTCAAAGAATAAGTATGGTATGGGACACATTCTCTGCCCACAATATAATTAAATGAGAAATCAAGCAAAAAATATGTCCTTTTAAAAATCCTCCTACATTTGGAAATTTTACAACGTCCTTTTCAACTCATAGGCCAAATACAAAATCACAGTGGAAAAGAGACAGTACTTTGAACTAGTTGGTAATAAAAATCCCCCATGTCGAAACTTATGGATTACAATGATTCTTGAGGTAATTTATAGTCTTAAATATAATAAAACATGATGACTTTTCCTTTCCTATATACATCTTTAAATTAGTATTCTATGTACTAATGAATTCTACACCAAATCTCTGTCAATTACCAAACTCTTCCTTGAGGATGCTGAACCTCACAGGTATTCTACCCTGAAGAGGCTCTCCTGGAGCCTTCTGCTCCGCTCCAGTCTGGACTGGTTAGCATCCCCCTGCAGCACAGTAGTCATCCTGGGATCTCTTGTCAGAAAATCTGGGAGATTCCCTTTCTGCCCTAGTATAGTGGCTCTCCCATTTCCCGTATCTTCCTTTCTTAATTGATTTCTTCAAATTAGTAGCTCACATCTTCTAGCTTCCTGAAAAGGGGGGAGTGGAAGGTAAAATTTTTGAAACCATTCATGAAATTGTCAATAATCTATTCTCAAACTTTATGGACAATTTGGTTGGGTACAGAATTCTAGATTGGAAATAATTTTCCCATTCTAAGTCCAATCTTGCTTTTTTTCCCTCCTTTCTCTCTGGGAGCTAAGGTCTATTTTAGTTTCCAGGGCATGGACATTGCATGATGACATGCCTCAATACAGATCTGTTTCCATGCACTGGGTGAGTGGTGTCCTTGGGGGGACTTCCATGGTGGAATCATGTCCACTTCTGAGTCATTTCATTGATACTTCCTCCCCTTCATTTTTTCTCTTCTTTCATTCTGGTTATTGGACATCCTGGACTAATCCTTTAATTTTCTTAACTTTTCTCCTCTATTTTCCATTTCTTTCTGGGAGTTTCCTCAACTTTGTCTTCCAATTTTCTAATTAGGTATTTTCATAATTTCTAGTTTTCATATTTTTAACTTCCAAGAGTTCTCTTTTAAGGTCTGAAAGATGCTTTCTTCTCCCCTGATAGCATCCTCTTTTGTTTCATGATTGCAATATCTGCAACTTTAAGAAGTTTTCTTCAGGTCCCAGTGACCCTGCTCTCTGTTCCTATTCAAGAACAGGGCTCTGACAAGTTTCCTGGAATCTCTGAATGAGCAGGTGGAATTTGTCAACCATGAACAACACTTGGGTGATCTGGCTGGGTCATTTTATGTTTGGGGAATTTCAGATGTCAGTATATTTACATCTTTCCTCTTGATGAGAAAATACCTCAGAAAAGATCTGTTTCTACCTGGTATGCCACTATGAAACAGGGTAAGAGTGGGGCAACCACCAACAATGTGGAGGAGGGGGACAGGATATGATCACTTTCTGGGAAGACTTTCAACCAATTTTCTTCTTATTTTAGCCCTTTTCATCTGCTACCAGAGACAATGGAAAAACTGGATATCCATGTGCATAAAAACAAAAACAAAAAACCTCAACTGTTATTTCACATTATACACAAAAATTAACTCAAAATGGATCACAGACCCAAACATAAAAACTAAAACTTTTAGAAGAAAACGCAAGAGTAAAATCTTTGTAACCCTGGGGTAAATATTTCTCAATTAGGACACAAAAACACAAACTATAAAATAAAAAAATTGATTATCTTGACATTACCAAAATTAAAACTTCTTCTCTTCAAAAGACATCATTAAGAAAATGAATAGGCAAACCACAAGCTAGGAGAACATATTTGCTAAACATATATCTGACAAGGACCTGTATCCAGAATACATAAAGAATTCTTGGGACTCAATAATAAGACAAACAATACAATAAAAAAATGGGCTAAAGACACAAAACACCATAAATTGCATGATTCTATTGTGCATCTGTCCACAGAGACAGAACACAGAATGGTAGTTGCCAGGGGATAGGT